ACATTCAATGAGATTTCTTTATGTTATTTACATTCTTTACAATTCTCAGTCTAGGCTAGTTTATATTTCATTTCTTTCATAAAGAAGTTTCACTTCGACATACGAAGTGATTCCTTTTGTTTGAAAAATATTATCATCGAAACATAATTTCTAAATAATAGAACACAATAGTCCTGAGATCAATCTGATCGATCTCGTGAGTAACTGAATCTGTTAAAGGATTTAGAGGATCAGTGGTTGTTTACCAAATTCCATGGTAAACAGAGACAAAAAGATGATTGTTGTTATAGTAAGATATACAATATTCCCAACTTCTACGGAGTTGCCAAGGGACAAGCGAAGGGTTAACAAAAGCCTTCACCACAATTTGAGAACCCGACTCTATCTACAGCTTATTCCAACCTTTGCTTTTAGAAATTTGCATAGAAAACAAGGTTGCCTGAAACTCAGCAAGAGAAGAGGAAGGCCAAGTTACATTAGCCGCGAAAGCTAAGAGAAAGTTCTCGAACTTAGCACGAAAAATCCCACCACAGCCCGCCATCGGAGAATTGCGAGGAAAAGCACAATCACAATTACATTTCATCCAATCTAGAGGAGGAGGATGCCAAAAAAATTCAATAATACGAGGAGCATCCGGCGGTCGGATCTTGATGTTGAAAATCTTAAGAATGTGAAAGTCATCTATCGAAGAGAAAGAAGAAGTTGTGGTGTTCATATCAGTGAAAGTGATATAGCTGGAGATTTTCTTAATGGTATTCCAAGTATTAGGCGCAATGTTTTTGAACCTAGCCCAATTTCTAGCTTCCCATAAGAAATAAATGATATAAATAATGGCGGAATGAAGAACAACCTTACATTGTTTGGACCGAGAAGCGCACCGATCCCACCAATCTTCTAACGTTTGAGGCAGATTGTGGATATTAATGACCTTGTAGAACCAACGCCAAACTTTACCCGCGAAAACGCAATCAAAGAACAAATGCTTGTTATTCTCTACATGACTGTTACAAAGACAGCACATAGAAGCGAAACACAAGTCTCTATGCATAAGCTTATCGTCCGAAGAAATTTTCTCTAACATAAGCTTCCAAACAACTAAAGATTTAGTCGGAGGAATATCCCAACTCTAAACTGATTTAGTCCAAGTTTTAGGAGAAAAAGGAGCTTTGAAAATATAAGCATTCTTGAGGGTTAATTCACTTAACAAAATATGAGGTCAAATAAAAGTGTCTTGCTGCTCCGAAGAAATAGTAAGAAGTGACCGAAGCTGAATAACCTATAAAATGTGAATTATTTGTAATTTGTGATTTAAACATAATTTTTTAATAACATTCAAAATTTGAATCTAAAAGTTATTTGTGATTTGAATATAATTTTTAATAACATTCCAATATATTTAAATAATATTAAATGTGTTTGAACCCATTAAATGTAAATATACTTAAATATTATTAAAATCTATTTTAATTCATAAAATTTTAATTATTTAAATACTTTGAAAGACACGATTGTTGTCTATATTATTATTTGTTTCAATTTTAATAACTGTTTAAAATTAAAATATTAAAAACAAAAATAATAATAGAGCCACGGGAACACGCATATGCTTCGTCATATTTTGATATACAATAAAGAATAATAGTGTGATTAGTTTTTTTCCCCTCTTTTTATTGTTGAAGGTAATATAAAAAAGAATTGAAATTAGGGCCATGTTCTCCAAAAAGCAAGGACAAACTTCACAATTAGTTTTTCTACGACAAATAGTTTTTTTTCTTAATTTCATAAAATTGTTTGTGAGGATCTTTCGCAAACAAAAAAGTCCGAATTATTAGTTTTCCCCCTTATCCAATCTCATATATCTAATAATTAATGCTTAATTAAATAGAAAAAAGATTTATTTGACTAGTATCCAATCTCCTCCACAGGAACCATGCGTGCCAAGTAAATCAAAACAAGATTTTCTTAACAATAAATCTAATAAGATCAATGATTAGATCGTGAAATCTGATCTATGTTATATCTATAAAAACTCAAGCTCTAACCTTTTATTTAGAAACAATTATATCTTACAAATTGAACAGAGACTTAAACCAAAAATCAGTTTATATTCTACATTTTTCTAAGTGGTTTGTAAAAAACACTTCATTCATCTTCGTCACTAATTCATCTATGGAAACTATCATTGACTTACATATCTGTCCAACTCGCGAGCCAATCGAGTCTTCACATAATATTCACGGTTTTAGAAAATATTTCTTCATTAATTTTGAGTTTAATCACGCATATTTACCTTTTCAAACCAATGTCACTACCGACTTAACAACCACAATCAGAGAAGCCGTGACAATTCCTATTGAAATCTTATGTAAATTGTATGGAAGGAGATTATAATAATGTCTATGAGAAATTTTCTTTCATACCAATTAATATTTTAGACGCGATTCTACCAAATATGGAAGAATGTGTTAGGCAAATGGTTGCACACTACGGTGAAGAACATGATATATTAGAGATGAGTATACATCTTTTTGCCATAACACCAATTGAAGAGGAGGAAGAAGATCTTAGAAATCAAGATGATTTTGATCAAGCCCAGCAAATTGTTGATTTGATGGAGAAATTAGAAATGTGTTATCTTTCTTCTTCTGACTCAACTGGACAATGTCCTATTTGTTTGGAGGAATTTTGTATTACGTCAGAATTTGTTCGAACAAATTGCTCTCATGTTTTTCATAAAAAGTGTATTGCTTCATGGATTCAACAATGCATCAACCGTTCATCAAATTACACTTGTCCATTGTGTCGACAATTATTATGAATAAATGTTGATTATATATGTAATCTTAATTAATTTTAATGTTAAAGATATTTTTTATCTAAGTTATTTGAGTAGGTTTCAATTTTTCTTCTATACTTTTATACTCTGGCCACTATATTTTCCTTCTAAGATATTTTTATACTCTATGGCCACTATAGTAGAAAAAATTATTAAAAAAAGTTAATATTGTCCTAGTCATTAGAGTGATTTTTTTATCTACCACCTCGTTTAATATGTCAAGTGAGGATGAAAAAAATTAAAAGATCAAATCACAAAAAAGAATTACATAGGAAAAAAAAATTAAAACTCCCTTATATAATAAGATAAAAGGACTTTTAACGCTTAACTTTATAATAAAAGTGTTTGTTAACTTGATTTTATATACTTTCTTTTTGTATAAGAAAAGGAAATTGATAGTTGCTCACTTTTAATTTTTAAACTAGATTGCAGAGATTGAATTGAATAAATTAAAGTGTCTGAAATAAATATAATTTTAATTGTTTTTCTATAGGTTCTCTGTTTATATATTTTGTTTTTCTATATATTTGCCCACTTTTAAGATATTTCGTCATCTATATATAAAATCTCTTAATAATTGTAAAAGAAATTAGATGAGTTGTAACTTCTCACTGGTAAATAATTGTATAAAAATCTCTTAATTTATTTTAATTAATTAAATTGATTTTTTTAATAACAATTTAAATATATAAAATTAATATAACAAAATACGGTAGAGGTGGTTGGTATAAAACTGATTTAATAACTACACAAATTAAATTAAAAAAATTAAATAAGAACAAATTTTAAGAAAATGCAGACTTACATCATCATCCTTTAAATTATTTATTCTCCCAAGTTGTTACCCCTACACCTCTCTAAATCTTTTTATTAATCAATTAATAATTAAATTAATAAATAAAATGTTATTTCTATAACTCCACTGCATCAATTTAAATAATTAATTAAATTAAAATAAAACAAAATATTTACAACTGGTGACGTTTACTCGATGCATATGAATTAGTTACATAGCAAGACATAATCTCTCCTCTCCAATCAATTAAATAATAATAATAATAATAATAATAATAATAATAATAATAATAATAATAATAATAATAATAATAATAATAATAATAATAATAATAATAATAATAATAATAATAATAATAATAATAATAATAATAATAATAATAATAATAATAATAATAATAATATTAATCTAATTTTAAAATCAACATAAAATAAATAAATAAAATTAATAAATAAGATTTTAACAACTTTATATATTTTAGAACCAACATAAAATAAACAAATACAATAAATAAATAATTACAAAACTACCCTCAATTATAAAATTAGTCACATTTATTTGATCTTTTATGATGTGTGTATTACTTATAAGTTTTAAATATTTTATTTTATTTATAAATCAAGTATTTAAATTTCAAAATATATTTAATTATTAAAATGAATATTTCAAAATATTTATTTAAACATAATATTTTACACTAAAAATTAAATTAAATTTGTTTTACTCATAAATTTTTTTATCATTTCATTTTAGAATCTCCAAAAATAAAATTTTAATTTGCTAATTGTAAAAAAATAGATTAGTACATCTTTTTTATCTATATCAATATATAATGCGGACACTATTTTTTTTTTCTTATGCAAATTTAAGTATTTTATACTCGATTTTTTAAATATTTTTAATTATATTAGAAAATTTTATTTTTTATAAATATATATTATTAAGTTGTTGTTAAATAAAAATTTTCTTAAAGAAAACAATCAATATAATAAAATATTTAATATCTCAATATTTTAAATTATTTTTTTAATATATTTAATTATTAATAATAAGATAAAATATTCATTTTGGTCCCTTAACTATATTTTTAGTTCAGTTTGACTCTTAATTTTTTTCGTGCTAAATTTGTCCTTTGATTTTTTGGTTGATGCATATGAGTTTTTTTATATCTACTCCCTTAATCAAAGTTTGTTAAAAATCTATGTGACAGTGACACTGAAAGGTGAATCTGACCAATATATCAAATCCAAACAATATCGGATCTTAAACTCTTCCGTTTCCTTTTATCAATAAAATCAAATCATGTGGTCGAAGAACTAGAATGACAATGCATTGAATTAAGTAATTTGAAATTAATTTGTCCAACAAGACAATGAATACCAGAAGAAGAGAGTTGCAGAAACACGAATCCTAAACTGTAGAAGCAGAAAAATGGATATTGGAAAAGTAGGTGAGATCAAAGAGTTCATAGAAGCATGCACCTCTTCTTCACACTCCTTCCCTTTCTTTCTTCAAATCTTACCTTTTCAGTTTGGATGCCAACATCAATCCACAACCCAAAATGGTACTTCTTCCCTTATAATTATCGATTTTCACTTCTTTAATGCACACATTTACTTACTCAATACTTGTATTGTATGCAGTAATCTATTGTTGGTGATAAAAATACTCAATACTTGATAAAAATTTATCATTTTCATTTTCAATCTCCACCTGAATTTGAGGAAAAAAAATAGAAAAGAAAAATCTCTATCTGAATCTCAATCTTTGCGCTCTTCTACACTCCAAAATACAAATCCCTAAAATTCTATATAAACCATAGATTCACTAACCTCATGACGCAAGCACAAATTTCCAGCTCGAGGTGGTTCTTGTTGGTGAAATTGATGCTTGAATTTTCATTTGTGGAGGTTAATGTGAAGGTTGAAGAGTAATGAATTTTGTGGTGAAATCGTAGTGGGTGGTGAAATCGTTGTTGTTGTTGAGTATGCATATATCTAGCAACGATGGCATGGAACCTGTTCAAGTTCTGCACATCTTTGTGAGGACTTGTATAATGAAGGATTTGATTGTCTTATTGCAATCTCTGTCTTGATCTTGTTTCACAGTTTGGTAAGTTTGTTCCCAAAGTTTTTTCTTTTTCTTTTTGATTTCATTGAATTGTTTTTTGTTAGTATTATTGGTTGTGAATGTTTTGAACAGGAGTAACATGTAGTGGCATGATTGAGATTTAGTATTGTTTGGATTTGGTATATTGGGTAAGGACAAATTTAAATATCCAAAAATAATATTTAGCGTCGGTTTTTCTGACGCTAACTTCATCACAAGAGTTAGTTAAATCCATCTGTCATTGTCACGTAGATTCTTAACAAACTTTAACTAACAAATTAGATGAAAGAGCTCATATGCATCTATTAAAAAGTTAAATAACCAATTTGACAAGAAAAAAATTAAGGGACCAAACTGAACCTAGAGGTATAGTTAAAGGATTAAAATGAGTATTTTGACTAATAATATTTTTATAAAATATATTTGTGCATTACACGGGCAAACATCTAGTGTGTGTATATATTCATATAACAAAATTCACCGTTGGATTGAAAGCTATTATCATATAGACCATATCTATAATATTTAACATCAATCGAAAATTATTTGACATGTTAATGAGAGACACAAAAACTAACGTCTTACAAAACTTGATCAAAATCGTTAATTTTTATTCTTCTCTTTAAGATTTTTTTTTAAAAATAACAATGTATTGAAAAAAAATACACAAATAACCACGTTTCGGAAAAAAAATACACAAATAACAATATTTCAGGAAAGCAAAGGAAGCTTCAGTCATCTCAAATCGTATACATTCAAATTTATAAAGGTGGCGCCAAATGAGATGGCGCCTAGGTGTATGTGGTTTGCCCTAAGCCATCTCAAATGGCGCCTAGGTGCAATTTCTTTTTTTTATATAACTTTTTTGTTAAAAAAATAAAAGACAATTTCGTCACAAATGAAACTTCGATTTTCAATAATAATGAAACAATTACATAATGGGAATAAAAGTTACATACTCGATAATGACCCGTGGTTCTGCACTCGCGTCCTTGCCTAAATCGTGGTGCGTTTCGACGATTTTTCTGTTGTGGTTGGATTGAGGGCCCTGTGAAGTCAATGCGTTCAAGATTCATGAAATTCGTCAAATCAGCATATCCAGAAGATCTGCTTTCAAACCGTCAGTTACCCACGCCCTCAAAGTTTGGTCATATTGGTGGGGGTGGGGTTCCATGGGTGGTCGATAATACTGGTCGTCTAAATAAGGGGGTAAAAAGGAAATGAATCTTGTGGAATTTTGTACTGTGATTGTTGGGTGCTAAGGTGATGTGATGGATGATGGTAAGTTGGGTTGGTTGGGGAATATTCTTCAGGTAGGCCAATGTCTGGACTAAAGTGAGATGATGAGGGGACCACTTTGGGATGTCGGATGTATGGTCGATGTTCTTGGTACTGTGATCGTGTGCGGGGGATGTGTGTGTATTGGTATTGGTCTTGGGTTGGGGTTGGGTGTTGGTGAATCTGTATTATCATTGTGTTTAGTGTGAGGTTGATGTGTATATGATTTGTTGTTGGATGATGTATGATTGTTGGTAGTGTTGTTGGGGATTTGAGGACGATGCATATTGTAACACCCCAATTTTATTTACTAGTTATTTATTTTATTGATTATTATGTAATATATTAATTAATTAAATTGTGTGAATCAGAACTTCTACTTCTTACTAATCCTACTATTTTAATTCTTAGCCTGATATCAATGTAACTAGAACAGTACGACTAACTTTATCCCCAAATTAATTCACTGTTCTAATACAATAACTTCTGATATCCTTCACGCATAATTCTGCGTCTTTCTTCCCTGCATAATTCTGCGTTTTTTTCTTCCCTGCATCTCACTATGGAATTCATACTTAAAGCCTTAAAACTTAATATATTCATGACAATTCATCACCTGTAATCATCTTATAATACTACATCGATCAAACAACACCATGACATCTTTATTCATCTAAAATTCATTAATTCTTCATCATACATCATTATTTACATTCAATTCAAGAGCAAGACAACAATCACCTCTAACCCCACATACCAATCATCATGAACCCAATTATAGAGTCAGAACCCCACCCTTACCTTGGATTGAAGGTCGCTCTAAAATTTTCGGTTGAATTCTCGTTCTTGCCGTTTTCCACTTTTTTCCAGCAGCTTGCACGTTCTCCTCTCAATCCTTATTCTTCTTCTGCTTTTTTCTTTCTATTCTATTCCAACAACAATAAAGTAACCCTATTATTCTTTATTCCTTATTGGGCTTAAAACTAATACACCCCCTTATTACTTTTATTCCTTTAAAAACAAGCCCACATTAAATAATATTATACTTCTAATATTATTTCACCACTTAATAAAATAATTAAATCCAATTAATTATAACACGTCTTCACAAATATTCCAAAAATAATTTAATTAAATAATTAATTAAATTACGGGCGTTACAACTCTCCCCCACTTAGAATATTTTCATCCTCGAAAATTTACCTCAATCAAACAATTCAGGATAAGAGTTTCGCATCTTGCTCTCCAACTCCCAAGTCATGCTTTCACCAGCAACTCCTAGCCAAACCACTTTAACCAAGGCAATCTCTTTGCCCCTCAGAGTCTTCATTTCACGATCCGCGATCCGTATAGGAATCGTCTCCACCGTAAGATTATCCCGTACTTGCACGTCATCCATATGAATCACATGAGATGGATCTGAAATATACTTCCAAAGTTACGACACATGAAACACATCATGCAAATTCAAAAGATTAGGCGGTAAAGCCACTCTATAAGCAACATTCCCCACTCTCTCCAAAATCTGATACGGTCCAATAAAATGAGAAGTGAGCTTCTTAGAATTCAATGCTCGCCCAACACCAGTCACATGTGTAACTCTCAAAAATACATGATCACCAGCTTGAAATTCTTAATCCTTCCTTCGCTTGTCATGATAACTCTTCTGTCTACTTTGGGAAGCTTTCATCTTTTCTCGAATCAACTTCACTTTCTCAGTAGTCTCACGAACAAGTTCAGGTCCAAGTACTATACTTTCTCCAGATTCATGCCAATATAACGGAGTTCTACATCTTCGACCATACAACACTTCAAAAGGTGCCATCCCAATACTAGAATGGTAACTGTTATTATAAGTGAACTATATCAACGGAAGATAATTATCCCACAAACCTCCCTGCTCAAGAACACATGCCCTCAGCAAATCTTCCAATGATTGAATAGTCCGTTCAGTCTGACCATCTGTCTGAGGATGATACGCTGAACTCAACCTCAACTTAGAACCCAACGCTTCTTGAAAACTCTTACAAAAATTAGAAGTAAATCTTGGATCTCTATCTGACACAATGCACAAAGGAACACCATGCAACTTCACAATCACATTAATATAAATCTCAGGCAACTTCGATACTGGAAAACTGATGTCAATAGGAATAAAATGAGCTAACTTCGTAAGCCTATCAACAATCACCCAAATCGAATCATGTCCTATTAAAGTATTAGGCAACCCTGTCACAAAGTTTATTGAAATGCTATCCCATTTCCATTCTGGAATTTCCAACGGTTACATCAATCCTGCAGGCTTCTGATGTTCAACTTTCGACTTCTGACAAGTCAAACATGCATACACAAACCGAGCCACGTCACTCTTCATCCCAGGCTACCAAAACAAACCTTTCAAATCTTGATACATCTTTGTAGCTCCTGGATGAATACTCAACTTACTTCTATGACTCTCTTCAAGTATCACTTTCTTCATCTCAGCATCATCAGGAATACAAATTCGATTACGAAATCTCAACACACCTTGCACATCTAACTTAAAATCACTATTCTCAGACTGACCAATCCCAACCATCAAATCTACCAGTTTCACATCCAACTTTTGAGCTTCTCTGATACTGTCTAAAAATTCATTATTAATCTTCAACATACCCAACATAACACTTTGCGGAGTAACCTCGCAAACTAAGCTCATATCTCTGAACTGCTCAATCAATTCCAACTCTTTAATCATCATTGCTGACATATGTAAAGTCTTTCGACTCAATGCATCAGCTACCACATTCGCTTTTCCTGGATGATAATTCAAACTGAAATCATAATCCTTTAACAATTCCAACCATCTTCGTTGCCTCATATTCAACGCTTTCTGATCAAATAAATACTTCAAGCTCTTATGGTCACTAAACACTTCAAATTTAGAACCATAAAGATAATACCTCCAAAGCTTCAACACAAAAACAATTGCAGCAAGCTCTAAATCATGCGTAGGATAGTTCTTCTCATGAGTCCTCAACTGCCTTGATGCATAAGCAACTACCTTACCATTCTGCATAAGCACACCTCCTAAACCCATTTTAGAAGCATCACAATACACCACAAAAGGCTCTCCTGGATTAGGCAACATCAAAATCGGAGCCGACGTCAACCTCTTCTTCAATTCTGCAAAAATTTCTTCGCACTGAATATCCCACACAAACGCTCTACCTTTACAAGTTAACTTAGTCAACGAAAGTGACAACTTAGAAAACCCTTCGATAAACCTTATATAATAACCAGCTGATCCCAAG